TTTAATTAACGAAACACCATGAGGTACAGTTGTAGACTTACAAACTTTCGTGCTTGGGTTTCAGTTATACAATGATCAAGTGCCCATCCCTCCACCAGCGCCCATCCTCCGCCACCACGGGTCCCAGCATCCCTCCCACCCTCCCACCCTATCCCCCCGCAAAGCCTCTGTGGAGGTGCATTCCCTTTTGCTCTCTCTTTCCTTTAGGGTATTGTAGTCTGCAATAGAGGTATTGAGTGGCCTTCATGTTCGGTCTATAGTCTACTTTCAGCACGCATCTCACATCCCGTGCGAGTCCTCCAGACATCCTTTACTTGGTGTTCCCTTCTCTAGCTGAGCTGCCTTTTCCCCCAGCATGTGCTCCCCATTTCCCTGGAGCAGACCTCCTGGTACTTATCTTAATTATTCTTGGGTGTTCAACTCCCATTCTGTTACTTTATATTCCCCAGATGAGCGCAGTCTTTCTACGTGTGTACCTCTCTTTCTGGCTCATTTTACTTAGCATACTTTCCATGTAGAACCACTTGTATGTAAATTTCATGATGTGTTCTTTTCTAACAGCTGCATAGTATTCCACTGTGTAGATGTACCAAAGTTTCTTTAACCAGTTATCTGTTCTCGGGCACTCAGGTCTTTCCAAATTTTGGCTATTGTGAACATATGAACATAGAAGGGCAGCAATGAACATAGAAGTTCAGCATCACTTCTGACAATGTTTGGGGCAACCCAACAGTAACCCGTTATTTGTGGTCTATCTATAATTCTATTTCAACTGATAATCCTGTGGTTTCATTTGCTAAACTGGGTAACCAGTTCCCAGCATCCCTCTCAGTAGAGAAGAAGGAGGGAATTGGAAGTCCCTAGACTAAGAGGATACAGTCAAGTACAGTGTGATATTGCCCGGCCTTCTTGGCTGGACTCACATAGATTTGCAAGTAGTTTTGATGGGGGATGAGGCGGGATAAATTATCCTCATCAGTGATGACCTCCAGCTGTAACAATAGTCAGATGGTGTTCCAGAGAACGGTGAGTGTTACTGTTTAGAAGCACACAGGCCCTGCCTGCCCTGGCCCTCACTCAGGTCCTGACTTGCTCACTACCAGGATGGAGAGTTGGCTGAGTGGAATCCAGGTTAAAACAAGCCTTTCAGGCAAAACAAAACAGAAAACCCCTGTCTCAAGTGTAGAGGCTTTTTGCTGTGTGTCAGATTGTCCACTCTGGAGAGACCTCATCTCTGCGCAGAGCAGAGATAACCAGGATCACTCATGTCCATCAGCGCTCTCCTGAATCATGGGAACACCTCTGACTGCCAGCTAGTCTCTGTTGAGCTCTTAGACTCAGAGGTGTTTAGTCTTGCAAGAAGAAATGCTTAAAAGTAATTCTAGTTCTGTGTGCACCATTTTGTACCTACAGGTTTTTCCATGAAACTTTGCTTCAGTTTGTTTGCCATTGTTTTGAAACATCTTTTCAGTTTCAAAGAAATCTAAAATTAAAAATACAGTCTTAATGGAATTTAGTGTATTTATATGAAAGATGTGAAAATAGACTTTTTGTTTTATACAGTCATTTTGTTTGCATATACGTTGGCCTGGCAAATTCTCCTGATGAGTACACACTGATGTTCAAGGATAGATAATTCAGGTTTTTGTTTTGTTTGCGGTTTCATTTGAAGTAGAAATATAGTGGAGATAACCATAGTGACCCCCAGGGTCACCAGCCCAGTTCCCCAAAGACCAGGAGTTGGCGGGGGCTGGAACTCCTCAAAAGGGTAATAGGAATCTGGGGTGTAATTGGAGGGTGCTTTTGATTGCTTGCTTAAGGTAGATTTCTAGGTGGTGCAAACATTTTCTTTTCTTGTAAAGTGGGCCGTAGGGCCAAAGAAGTTCACAGACCTCTGCATTAAGCCAACCATGGTGTTTAAACTGGTTTCTATTTTATTTTTAAAATATAATTATTTTAATGATACTTTTTGGATTTGGGGGCCACACCCAGCCCTGAGTTTTATAGCCTAATATAATGGATGATCAGTTAAACTGAATGAAATGAAAACATAATTAATTTAGTCAGTGCTGGGAGCTTTTTAAACTTCAGCTAGGAGTCTTAAGTTCATTTCTTTATATGACTACAGAGCTGTGTTCTAAAATTTCCTTTTTACAGCTTAAGATGGCATTTCTTTTAGTAACTTATTTCTATGCAGCTGGCATTCAACTAAAATATGTAAATGACTTAATCACAGAGATAGGTCTTTTATGACAAATTCAACTTTCAAAATATGTACATTTATGAAAAAGTATTCATCCTGTCTAGCATTCATAGACGCGGGCTACAAGCCTGCTTCCCACATTATGATTTTTAAGTTTGCATTTTGTTTCCTTTTACTAAGAACAGTAACCGCCCTCAAAATTGGAGCAGGATGTAATCTATATTGAACATTTTGTTATAACTATTATAACATATAACGCATTTTGAATAGTTTTTTTATTCAAAAGCAAAGCCTTAGAATTTGAAGGCTATTATGAGCCTTACAGTTAAAAAATAATATTACTTTATAGTTAAGACTTGGTTTTAGATAAAAAATAGAATTTACTTTTCACCATCTTTCGTATTCAAAAGATTTGGTTCCTAATAATTTTGGATATTTGTTGTAACCTAAATGCTCCCTCTGTCAACTCTGGGTCAATTTAAAAGAATGTCTAAAAGTGTCTGGCACTTATTTCAAAAATTAAAGGAAAAAATTGAAGGAGAATTCTTATTTGAGGAACTACCAACCTCTGTGTGTGAATAGAATGTATTCATGTTTATGTTCTATGGTTAATTTTTATGTTGAAATTATTTGTGATGATACAGCTTGTTGAATTAGCGTGATCTCTGGCAGTTTGTCTGTTTTTATAAGATTACACCATTAGAGGGCAGTGTTGTAGCGGTTAAATTTGCCCTCTTAAATGTATTGAATTGTAGGCTTTATAATCTACAAGAAGAAAATTTAAGGCCTCAAGATTTTTATTGTGTTGTCGTAGTCCCAATAGATGCTTAATTGCAAATATTTTAAATAAGTAGGAGTAATTATGTGACGGCTTAGCTGTTTACAACTTTATAACTCAACCAACGACCGACCATTGGTTTAGAAAAGGAATTTGGTTAGTGTGAAAAAACAACAGGGTGAAATCCACACTTTACAACATTCCTTCAAGGTGAGATACTGTCTTTACAGTATTTTAATCCTTTTTATGTCAGAAGGCTCCTAGGACTGTGTCGTACAGGAATTGCCATCTAATTTAAAAAAACTTGCTTTAGGGATTTACTGAAAATTATGTCTGTTCAACCTGTAGGATTAACTGAAAAATGTAAAAACTGAGAAAGCCTGTTTTAGGGATATACTGAAAATATATGTATTCAACTTTCCTAACTATAAATAGAAAAAGGGGAGATGAAGATTTTTAAAAGCTAACAGCTCTGCTGGGGGCATTTGGGAGAAGATGCATTTGATTTCATGTGGTGGATTTCCCTTTGCCTCGGTTTCTGTAAGCCCAGTAAAGGATACATAAAGATTTTGTGTGTTTGTTTCGATAAATTCATGAAAAAGTAGTGGTGTTTTTTTTTTTAAAAAAAAAAAAGCAAATGTGATTTTTTTTTCCTCCTAAACTATTTTTTTAAGTACTTTTGCATTGCGGTCATTAGCCTTATAAATAAAACCGCCTGTAAAATCCTCCCCTTACGGCTGCCAGATCATTGAAACCGAGACTGGCGCTCCTGCGAGTCGTTAGTGGGACTGGGCATGCCCAGTAGCTCTCCCGACGGTTCTGGTTGCAAATAGGAAGCTTTCGCCCATCGGCCGCCGCGGGGACCAGCAGCTCCGGGGCCGGGGTCCGCTCCCCTGGAACGTAAGCACGTGTGCGTGTGCGGAGGGGTCCCCCGAGCCTTCCTTCGGGGCCCCTGGCGTTTTCGGTGGCAGCCGGGGGGTCCCACGGGCGCGGGCCGCGGCGGTGTCGGCGGCGCGCGCGCGGCCCGGCCCAGCCCACCTGGAGCGCGGCCCGAGGCTGGGGGCGGGGGTGGGGGTGGGGGTGGGGAAGGGGAAGGGAGCGGGCCGGGAAGCGGGGAGGAGGGCGGGGAAGGCAGGGGCGGGTCCCGCGGCGGGCCGGCCAATCGGGGCTGCCCTTTGCTGCATATATTTTGCCGGGGGAGCTGGCGAGCCGGTGGAGCGTTAGTGGAGCCGAGCCGGGCAGCCCGTGGAGGCCTCTCCGCACACCGCGGCGCCCTCTGCATCTTCCCCGCACGGCCCAACCTTAGGAGCCCCGGTTTCCGTAGATTAGGGCTGACTCGGTTTCTGGCTGTCCCCGGGCTGCAGAAAGCTACATCTGTTTTTGGTTTTTGTTTTTCTTAAATCTAACTCAGATAACGCCCGCCAATACTCCCTTTATTTTTTTCTCCCCCCCTCGCGACGGTGTTTGTGGTTTTTTTTTTTTTTTGGCTGTATTTGCATGAAATCCCAATGGTGTAGACCAGTGGCGATGGATCTAGGAGTTTACCAACTGAGGCATTTTTCAATTTCTTTCTTGTCATCTTTGCTGGGGACTGAAAACGCGTCTGTGAGACTTGACAATAGGTAAATGTCAACTGGGATAGTTTAAATTTACTTGGGAGAGACTTGTTAACGATGCAGGTAAAAGATAGCCAAGGCGAATTCCTTTGTCCATTGCAGAGACACTAGGGTGACATGGATGTTGCTTTTTGAAATGTTTAGAATAGCCTTCTTTTTTTTGTGCATATCTGTTCAGGGAACAGGCTTTCAGCCTCCTTATGTAATTTCGCTCCCTTAAAAATAGGAAAATGTCTAGATATTCGTTAATCGAAGAACTGGTATGTTCAGATGGGTAATATATTACAGAGCACTAAAGAATAGGGGGAAAATGATGCTTATTAACACAACAGAGTTGGGAAGATCCTTTTTTCTCTTGAATGGTTACATTCCATTTATCGATATTTTTCCCCCTCTTTTCCAGCTCCTCTGGTGCAAGTGTGGTAGCTATTGACAACAAAATCGAGCAAGCTATGGTATGTACTGATTCCGGCTCATTTGTATTAAATGTGGGCACCGTACAAAAAAGCAAGAGGCCTTGGGATGGTACCCGTGCCCACCCCCAGCTTAGATGATGGTTGCTATCCATGCATTTAGAAATGCCGGCAGTCTCCATTCTGCCAGCGTAAAGCCACATACCAGGACTGCTGGGCGAGCAAGGACCCCAGCCCCCAGCCCCAAGACTAACAGTTCTCTTTCGGGGACCCATTGCACAGATGATCAGGTCGGTTTTCGCTGGGAATTACTAGCCAAGCTGCTACCCTCGGGTCGTGGTCAGATGTTGCACTCCACTAGAATCCTAGGGTTTCCTGGGGAGCCGGGGAGGAGGGGAGGGCGGCGGGAGTGGGGTGGGGGGAGGGTGGGCCCCCAGCACCAGGCACAGGCAGAACCCCCAGAGATGTGGGCTGCTGCACAATGAAGAAGAATCGGAGAAAAGTTTTGTCGTCCCTACCTCTGCCTGGATTTCTCCCGATTTTTTTTTTATTTCCGCCTTGGCCGTTCTTTGTTATTGGAGCAGCGCCTGTGGCTCTTCTCACGGGATTCTCTGCCCACTGTTGCTAGGCAAACTCCGAACCTTTAATTCGGAGCTATAAATAACTCGAGCCCCCATTGGCTGCGACGTCTGCCCAGGTTTCTGTGATGTCAGCTTAATCACGAAAAGTGGGGGGGCGGGGGGGTGGCCGGGGTGGAGGGAGGAAAATGCGGCAACATGTTCTGTAGGAACTGGCTGCAGCCGGTGCTGAGGGAGGCGGTCCAGCGGGTGGAGGAGGGAGGGGAGGGACTGGGGGCGGGGAAGCAGCTCCCTTTGCTCTGGCCTCCTGCTTCTTGCGGGCTGCTGGCCTGGTTCCTGGGGTGGGGTGGGGGGGTGAGACACCCCCCTGCCCACCGCGTCCTGTGCATTTTAGAAAGCACAGCTTTCCTGGCCCACTGTAGACGTGCATTGCTAGCTTCTGCAGAGAACGCATAGCCTTTGAACAAGCTTGACCACTTCGACATTAAACTTAAGTATCATGCAGTTGGGGTTGTCAGCAGCAGCTAGCCCCCAAGTGGCTCCTAATGATCCCCAAAAGGCTGGGTGTGTGGATGCGTAGAGACAGACCACCAGAAAGAATGCCTTTCTTAAAATGTGGGAAAGGAGCGAGAAGTAAAACCCTTCCCACCCCCACCCCCATCCCTCTCCCTTTCAGGATCTGGTGAAAAGCCATTTGATGTACGCGGTGAGAGAGGAAGTGGAGGTCCTCAAAGAGCAAATCAAAGAACTCATAGAGAAAAATTCCCAGCTGGAGCAGGAAAACAATCTGCTGAAGACACTGGCCAGTCCTGAGCAGCTTGCCCAGTTCCAGGCCCAGCTGCAGACTGGCTCCCCCCCTGCCACCACACAGCCACAGGGGACCACACAGCCCCCCGCCCAGCCAGCGTCCCAGGGCTCAGGACCAACCGCATAGCTGCCTATGCCACGCAGAGCTGCTGCTGCTGCTGCTGCCGCCGGAACTGACCGGACCGAGAAGATGGACTAGGGGCGGCCCGCCTCCACACTCACCCATTTCATTGCTCGCTGCGAAAGAGACGTGAGACTGACATATGCCATTATCTCTTTTTTCCAGTATTAAACACTCATATGCTTCTGGCTTGAAGACATTTCTTAGTTGGGTGACTTAAAGGTTGAGCAGAGAATTAGCATGGATATACTGGGACCTCATGCAGCTTGGCAAATCCGTGAGAAATGGTTTCATTCATGCTGAGGAGCTGTGTGCCTTTCCATCCCCTCCCAGGCCCCCACCCTCACTTCCAGGCCTTCCCTCCTGCTCGCATGTAGTGTTCTACATGGGGCTTTGAAGCCCGCGGGGGCCTCTCCCTTCTCCCCCTGGAGGAACTTGAAAGGGGGGTGAAAGTGAAGACTGATGCATAGTCTCACCTAAAATGAGGGGAACCTTAGTTCATCGTATAAATTGACGACTGTCACCAAAACCCATTAAAAAAAATAGTACTGTGCCTCTTTCTGAAATAGTGGATGACACAAAACTATTAGAGTGACTACACGGTGACAGGTAGCTGGGACCCAGGCTATCTTACCATGAAGGTTGTTTTGCTTATTGTATATTTGTGTATGTAGTGTAACTATTTTGTACAATAGAGGACCTGTAACTACTATTTAGGTTGTACAGATTGAAATTTAGATGTTTCATTGGCTGTCTAAAAAGGTGTGAAGTGTCTTTTATATAGGAGATCTCAACATTTTAAAAGAAAAATGTTACAAGAAGAAAGCCACACCTAAAGAAATTTTAAGAATTTGGTACAGTTAGTCACTTTGTGTAATCTAGCTGCTGAATATCTTGAAGTTAAATCCCTGTTCACTGATGTCTTTTGATCGAGCTGGTTGAATACTTTGATCAGTTCTAGCTAATGAAATGAATTTCCCAGTAGGGGCTTCTGCATATTACCTGTATAGTAGTTATATGCATATGTTTCTGTGCATGTTCTCTACACAGTTGTAAGGTGTCACTGTATTTAACTGTTGCACTTGTCAACTTTCAATAAAGCATATAAAATGTTGATAAACAAGTGTTTCCACATTATAGTGTTAACATAATTGCAGTCATTTTCACAACTATTTCCAAGTAAAGTTAAAGCAGTTTCAATTTGACTAGGCAAATCCTGAAGGTGGAGTTAAAAGAGCGGGACAAAGCCAGGGGTTCCAGTGGCTTGACTCTGGAGGTTGGCTGCGTTATACCAGCCAACATTTGAAAGAGACAGTGAAGGAGACACAGACTTAGTTCTTCAGGCTAGTTTTGTGACCTGGACCCGTAGCTTCACCCTTCAGAGATGATGTGGGTCATTGAAGGAGATGGCTCAAGAGTCCCCCTTTCCTCCAGTGACTTTCTGAAAGTCTCGGAGTCCATGAAAGCTCTCATCTTTGGAAGTTTACTGGCGGAGAGTTGAATTGGTGTATTTTCATGTCTAATCAAAAAGCCCGTACTGGATCAAAAGACGGAAGTTGGAAAGAGAAGATGGTAGTCACTTTGAGAGCTTGATCACTTTGGGCTTGGATCACTTTTCCTGGTGTGGAATGAGTTTTCCAACTCTCGGGATGGCCCAAGCGAAAACCAGATGATTCCAACTGAATCACTCTGTGGGATTTGAAATGGGCCCAGATGAGGAAGGGAGTCTCTCCCCGGTGGATGCCTAAAATTGTTTTTAAAAAGAAAAGGTGGGCATTTGAAATATGCCCTAAAGCAAATTGGTGCCTGGAGGTTGGGGAGGAGGATGCCTTTCTGACTTAGGAGCTCTGCAGAGTAGGGGAGCTAATGGGTGGATTTACCAGCGCCCTTCTGACCCAGGATACTGCAACAGCATCTTCCACCTGGGGAAAAGCAGCACATTCCTGAGCTGGAAGGTTTTTTAAGCCCTTGCTGGACAAGGACTTAACTTTCCTTGAATTTTCTTTTTCTCTGCTCTTGAGCTGATGGAGAGTGACAGGTGAATGGAGCACTAGCCCTTTCTGTGAAGAACTGGACAAGGTGCCCACATCATCGAGCCCAAAACCACTGGCTCTGCAACCCTCAGTGGCTGTCACAAGAGCCAGCTGGCCACCATAGGCTGGTGGCAGTTGCCATAAGGATGGTTTGGGGATCTTGGGGGAAGGAGTTAAAAAAAAATAGTCTCTGTCAAGGAGGGTATGTGGCCCAATGGTCATTCTCAAATTGATGAGGCACTGGGTTCAACCCCTGACACTGAAAAAGCAAAAAATAAAAACATACTTTGACATAGTAGTTTGAAGGTTATATAACCTTCACTTAAATAAAGGGATACTTAGGTAGTCATTACATTTCCTTAATAAAAAATATATCTATATATAGTGAATAGAAATCTCTAGCCATATCATCTTTAATGTTTTTAATTGAAGATCCTTAATACCAAAGGTGCTAATTATGGAAAAATTTGAGAAATTACATGTCAATGTATCATTAAGATAATGGAGAACCTTCTTTTCCATTATTTAAGAGAATTCTGGGCCTTTGTTTTTATCAAAAATGTGAAACTTTCATGCCATTTTGGGAGCTGGATGTTGTATGTGAAATAATTATTAAAATCAAAAATGCTTTTCATACATGTTCCTCGTTTTAGTAATTACTACACGTTTCTAAGCGGTTGACTTATATGTAAGGATATCCTCACATAATTTTAAAAATTACTGCTTGTTTACAGACTGGTATAGCCTTTGTTGGCCTGTGGGTCGTTATATAATGAATTATTCTATTGCCCTGGTGTTTGATGGAGCAGGAAGAAATTTAAGGTGAATGGAATGTTGGGCCAGTACTGGGTATCCATGACATCATCAGTAGCAGCCATGAAGAAACAGAAGGGATCTTATATGGTTTCAGTGAATGTCCGCCTTCTGTTGTATTGACAATATTTGTAATTCAGCAGTGTGCTTTTTTTTCCTTGCATAATTTAAAAGCAAAATTTTATTTTTCATGATGGGATGAATATGCAATGCTAGAATCAAGTTTGAATTTGTACAAGAACTGTGTGAAGGCTTAATAGTTATGATTACAATAAGTCAATAAGCCCCACCCTGCCCTTCTTTTTTTGTAAGGTTTAAGTAGTTGAAGTTATCAGGGGCAACTTTCACATGTCAACTTCAGATCCATTCTGACACCAGAGTCACAGAGAAAAGAACTGGAGGCAAAGAAAATAAAGCTTCCTCCATCTCATATAATTTTGCTTGACAATGGAGAAGCAAGTGTGCGGCGAGCTTCCTGTGGTGGTATGTGAAGGAGAAGGAATTGGGCCTAAAGGAGGAGATTTCTGTCTGTCCGGCCTGGCCATGCAGGAACCAGCTCTGAAGAAGGGTGGGCCTCTAAGAGCAGTTTTCTCTCTGTGGTAAGGAGTTGAATCAGAGCACAAAGATCCGGCCCTGACAGATGCTGCGATCTTTAGCCCTGCTATTCGTGATGACCCTTCTACCTTTGGGGGTTTTGGTAGGTGGTTTTTATTGGCATGTTTCACTTGGGCTCGGATTAATTTGGTTTTAATCCGAGCCTCCTCCAGCTACTTGCAAAGTGAACTTGGACAGGTTGTTGTATTTGATCTTTTTTTCTCACCCTAAATGCGGGCATAAGTCTCTGTGTAGGATTTTTGTCAAAATAACGCTGTAAAGCAGGAAGCACAGGGATAGGTTAGAGCAATATGAAGGAATGTTAGCCATTAAATACAATTTTTGAGGCGTTAATTCTTTTGTTCCTGTTTATTTTTGTATTTGGGGAATAAAGGTGTGACATTTTTATTTTCTAATAGCTTTTTGAGTTACCATTTAAAAGAGAGGTGGATGTTAAAGTTTTATTGTTGAGAACGCAAAGATATTTACATATGGAGATATACTGAGATGTATAAATTCATACTTAAAAATTATTAATTTCCTTGTGGAAGGAAACTGCCCAGTTATTGGGATTAATATTCAGGCTTTATCCTCAGCTACTGCCATTTTAAAAGGTGCAGAACTGCTGCTATAGGACAGTGTTAACCTGCACTTTGAAACAGGTGATTCGGACACAGAAGCCTTCTTGGGTTGACAGAGGAGCTCTTGAGTGGAGTATGAGAGGGAGAGAGTGGCAAAGCGTGTGTTCCCTCTCATGGGACAGCTGCCCTCTTCGCCTCATCTGTGTCCCAGTGCAAGAATTCAGGCACTGTGTTGCCAGAGCTTCTAATGGGTCCAGATGCAGAAATCCAGGTTCTAAATGAAAATTCCTGAATTTTAGGCATCGCAGAGCAAAAGCAACACCTGTTGTGCTAATTCGGCCCACGGGCCACAAGTTTCTACTCCTTACTTTTCATTAGATTAAGTGGACACTGGTTATCTGGAAAACTCTAGTGCTGATTCATCCAGAAAACACTGAGTACCTTCTCCATGTCAGAATCAGCCATGAACAAGCCACTGCTCCTGTCTCCCAGAACAGCCCAGGAGCTGCTTAACGTAAAGGCAGTGCCTCAGTCCCTGGTGAGTTGTTGGCCCTAAATGGTGTCACATGAATCCTTCAGCTGCTGCCTCCCTTAGTTGAACCCTTTGGGGGAAATGTTTCTAGACGTTCTTTTGAGAACTCCATTAAATCTGTAGCACTTTTGTCACAGTGGCATAACACTCCCCCAAATACACACTAAGTTTTCTAGCAGATTCTTTTAGGGACAAGGACAGCAACTGCCTGTGCTGCAAAGTTACATCACACATGCCCCAAATTTCCAGGGAAAACATTTGTTCAGCCAAGTTTAAAGTCAGTCCCCAATGGTGGTTTCTAGTCACTGTCAACTGCACCACACACACACACACACACACACACACACACACACACACACAAAGATTTCACATCTCTCTTTCAAGACAGTGGCTAAATTAGCTCTCACTCCCTTGAAGTTAGGTGTGACCAGGAAGCCCATCTTAGTTCACGGGCTGCAGGCTGGACTGGGCATCCATTTCCAAGTTGGACCTTACAAAAACTCTTTCCAGTGGTTTGCTGTGTCCCTTCTCCCTCCACTGGCCCCGTAAAGGAAAGAGGCATCATTAGAACCTGGCGCCCAGAATGTGACGCCTTCCCCACTGACCAGGAATCTCTAGATACAATGAATGTGAGTACGAGTTGTCCAGCATTTTAGAATTCTCTTGCTTCGGTGCCCAGCTGAGCACAGAAAGGATAATGCTGCTGCCGGGAACCCTAAAATGGGTGGCATTGATCATGGTTGGCGAGGAAACTGATGGAGACGTGAGCGGCGGAGCCCCACGTGTGACCTCGTGTGTGAGAGCTGTGATGTCTTCGCGGGCCGTCAGGAGCCTGGTGGATATGTTTTTAAAAGGAGTAGTATTTGGAAGCAGTGGCTCATTACTGTGCTTGGCAAAGGCTTGAAAGAAAATGTGATCTCAGAAAAGAATGAGTTTGGAAGAAGAGGGAAGGAAATAAAAGATGCAGATATTTGGGGCTGTCTAGTATTGGGAAAGCCCACTGCATTTGGATTCCAAACATTGGAAATAAGACTAGTAAGCCAATAAAGGCCTGTAAGACTTTTTACATAAATCAGGGATGTCACTTCATCAGTAAAGATGGATTAACGGATACAGAACGGCACAGCTAGCTTAGGTTTCAGGTGCCTTCTGGGTGGTACTATCAAGTAAGAGAGGCAGTGTACTAAAATGTAACGCAATCTCATCCAGAAAACGTATCGTGTGTCTTTCTACTATAGCTTAGAACCAATCAGCTACAAACAGGGAAGAAATAGAGGTTTTTGAGAAAAGTAATAGCCAAGAAAATCATTCTCAGACCAGCATTTGTCAACCACTGGTCCATTAATCAGTGCTGGTCCACGGGTGTGGAGAGGTTGAAAACCACTGATTTACCACTTGGTTAGAAATGCCAGCCTGTAGATCGATAAGGCCAAACAGGTGCTGGCCATCCTCAGGTCTCAGAAGGTTAGAGAACACCTGTTCAGAGTAAGCCAAACAACAACCTGCAACCAAACATTGTGGAAACTTCCAATGACCCTCGGGTCCCTGCATGGCTAAGTGCTGGATGCTGGGTGCAGAGACTTCTAAGATGTGCAGCTGTGCCGGAGAACCTTCTCCCCTGCGCCTACTTCATTCAAGGTCATGGAGGGCCAAACGACCCAGAGCCAGGAGCCAGCAGCTCTGGGCTCCAATGCCGGGGTTTCTTCCACCGGAGCCAAATCGGAGTCTAAATCAAGGAGCTTTTCTCCAGGGCCGCCTTAGGCCTGATGAGCAAGTTTTAGAATCGCTGAGGACTAGTGCCAACCATAGGTTCCACTGCCTTCCCCTGTGTTTCCCATCACCCACATTGTACACTATTGGCAGAGAGGAAGAAAAGTTTTAGTTCCAGACTTGTGGGAACCACATACCCAGCGTGTGTACCTCTCGAGGTCCTTCCTGGGCACTCGGAAGGCGGCCGAAGCTGGGTGGCACTTTGGGCAGCTGCCTCTGGGAAGAGAGTGAATTTGGTGAGAGAAAGAAGATAAAATGTGTATTTGGAACCTAACATCTTTCTCTGGGCACATGGACTGTGTCACCTAGGTTCCTTTGTTGCTGGGTACATCCTTTGATGGAATCCTAGCCAAAAGGAAGAAAGGGGGTGGGGTGGGGGATGGGAAGCAGTGCTATCTGCTCGGTTCCAAGTCTGATTCATAAAACTTCCCTGGAGCAACCTACCCTTATCTTTTCAGCAAACTGGTTGGAGACTCCATCCCTTTGAACCCCTCATGCTGAGGACAGCACAACCACTGCCTGGGCTTGAACAACGACGGAGGGCAGGACGCCTCTTCCCCGGGGCTATTCCCCCGCCCCGGAACTACTCAGACCTGCTGTGTGAGAAAACAAGAGAAACTTTTTAGTGTGTCTCAGGCAGAGGGTTTTTGAGACCTCTGCTTTGACTGGCACACCACCGCATGCACCACCTGAGGTCATGTTACAAAGCACCGGGTCAGGATGGGAACCAGGAGTAGGTGAGGATTAGAATGCTTCCCATCGTGGCAGTGCAGGTGAGGGGGGGGGGGTTCGGGGGAGTTCCAGAGCCAATCTTTGAGGTTGATTTTGAAGAATCTGTGAAAGAATATAGGAGAAAAGAACTTTCTCACACAGCTGTCTGCTGCTTTCTGTGCTGTGGCAATTGATGTGCTGAATGGGTGTGTGACATTTTGTGAAGCACCACTTGTAAGGGGCAGCTAAGTTCAGAAATGATGGTCTGTGATTGTCTCAATC